ATTTATTAAAAAAAAATTTTTTTTTTTTTTGTATTCTTAGCACTACCCAGGCTTAAATAGCTAGGTTTTTCATGCATTTCTTTCTTTCTTTTTTTTTTTTTTAAGATTTTATTTATCTTAGCACAAGTGAGTGAACGGGGCAAGGGGCAGAGGGAGAGAACCTCAACCAGACTCCCTGCTGAGTGTGGAGCCCAATGTGGGGCTCTATCTCCAGACTCTGGGGTCATGACCTAAACCCTAATCAAGAGGGATGCTCAACCAACTGAGCCACCCACGTGCCCCTTTAGATGCATTTCTTGACATGAAACGAACTATTCTTTTTTCCTGAGCATTCTGGAAGTCTTGAAAATAGTGGCCAACCAATAGTAAAGGGTAGATATTTTTTATGTAGTTTAGCTTAAGAATTCAAGTTAAAAACTTTTTTCTAAGTGTCTTAGTTCTGTTAATAGATTCACATTGCTTTCTTGGATGTCGCTTTCCTTCCTCAACCCTTTGTCATTTTCTCTAGACTTGTCTCGGACAACGAAGCATTTGTTCTTTCACATTCTCCTTGCATCTTGCACCTCTTCCACAGAGAACAGAAGAACTAGCTAATAAAGTATGAGTGGAGAGTGCAGTGTAAGGGGACAACAAACACGAATCTGGAAAATACTAAAAATTCAGCACAACAGGAGGTAGTTGGGAAAGGAAAGGAGTCCGAAGTCGTAGCAGGCGGTGCTCACAGCAGGGTCAACTCTATAGTGTTTTGTCTAATAACTACTGTGGCGCAGTTAAAGTCCATTCGTACTCCTGGAAAAGCATAGGAGTAGTTTGAGTACAGATGGTTTTTAAGTTGTGGTTATTAATTTCCATACTGTGATGCTCTGAGTGGCACGCACATGTGATCGGCAGCAAGTTAGCTCGAGGGCCGTGTCCTACCTGCATGTGACCTCGCAGGAGTCCTTAAACCTTTGTGAAATCATATTCTGTTATTCCTGATATATGTACAAAGTATATGAAGTAAAGGTTTAGAGTGGCCAGTCAGTTAAGACTGAAGTGAGTGGCTTTTCAATCAGTTGGCTACTTGTAGTGTTAGCTAAATGAATGGTTAAAATAGTTTTAAAACGACTTTAGGGGAGAATAATGAAGATAAGGAGAACGTACTGAAATTTCTTTTGAGGGGAGCCCACACAAGTCTGCAGGCAAGAAGGTAGGGGGAACCCAACAAGTTTTTTTTAAGATTTTATTTGACAGCACAAGCAGGGGGAGCAGCAGGCAGAGGGAGAGGGAGAAGCAGACTTCCCGTGGAGCAGGGAGCCTGATGCTGGACTCGATCCCAGGACCCTGGGATCATGATCTGAGCCAAAGGCAGATGTTTGACTGAGCCACCCAGGCGTCCCAGCAAGTTTTGAATAAGCCAGTTTCTGAATATCTCTTATCTATAAAAGAAATAAAGAGAACCAGATATGGTATTAGACATCGTTGGTATAAAAATGTCTACTTCTGTTTTTTCCCAATAAAACAATGGATGACATTAAAGTTACATGTGAAAAACATAATGAGATGATGGAAGATGGCATCTTCCTGGGGACTACTACTACTTTTTACCCTTTAAGACAGATGGAAAGACTTGGATGATCCAAGGGTGGAATTCATGACTTAGGTGACTCACACAGTGCTGAGTGGGCATCCAGTCAGTACCTGTTGGTTCATTATACTCTAAAGTTGTTTCATTTCATCTCTTCGACAACACTCACATTGCCAACAAACCCAAGTGTGTCTATAAAGATTACCCTTGGCGTTCTGGATATTGCTTGTGGTTTGATTTTCACCAGTCACTGTTTGAAAGGTATTCTCATTGGGGCATGGGACATCTCTGGTCATGGGGTGGGGAGATTGCAGGAATCCTGCCCCCTGCTTTCAGACAATAGTGAAATCAAAGTATTTTCACTTTCTTTTTTATGCCTTTAGATTGATCTTCAGATCACAGTTCATTATTGTCAGAGTTTTGTGATGCGAGTTTATATTACTAAGACTCCGTGACAATAAATTGAAAGGATACCTCTGTGAAAGAGGAATTCTAATTTCTTTTAGCATTCTAATTATTAGCTATCTTGCAGTTAAACTTTCTTAACTCTTTTTGTGCTCCTCCTCCTCCTCTGTTGCGACTTTCTGTTACCATAGAGAAGATTATTTGAGCACTATAATGCTCCATTTTTGCATCCAGCCTCAGACAAATGAGAGGTTCCTTAGCAAGCAAACAGAATGCAAGTCTGTGAAGTGACAAAGAAACATCCTTCAGGAATTTTAAAAAAAAAAAATTCTAATTTTTAAACCTTTTTTCTTTGATCCTATGTGACAAAAGACTGATTTGATTAATGACAAAAAGAACCCTGTGATTATCATAGATCTAGATCTTAGATCTTAGAACATTAGCGTTCTTTACGGGTTTGGTTTTGTTTTTAAATAACAGGGACAGTCATGTGTCCTGGAGGATCAGAGTAGGCTCTTCAATAGTGGACTCAAGACCTTAATGAGCTCCAGGTGATCCCTCACGTTCTTTTCCAGCTCAGTGATTTTGTTCACTAAAATAAATTTATTTCATATTCGTCAAAATATTTTTTAAAATTTGGAAGGAAAAACAATATGTAAAGGACGTCTAATTTTAAAAGATGTTGCTCCAAGATGTGTTTTTTAGGATTCCTTTCCTGACTTTGCTTTGTCAGGCTTTTTCATGAACTCATAGCATTTTGTTCTGCATTACATCATACACTTACTCTGTCTTTTCAAGGTACCTGTCCCCAGTGCCAGGTAGACTCATTACTCATACAAATCTAGGTTATATTTTTCTAGGAAAATTAATTACTTTATACCGGTTACATATGGTTTGCTTGTCATCAGGGAAGCTTTAACATATTTTGGGGCAGTATAATATAAGCATTTAAGCAGAGTTTTTTCTCTCTGTGCATAAAGTACATTAATGTAGGTTAAAAGTAATATATTTTGTAATACTAATATTTTCCTGGGATACTTCTCATGTTTACTGCAAAGTAACAAAGTATCATGAATGAGGGCACAGGTCAAAAACATGCCATGGGCGCATCATATACCTTTTGAATGACCGTAACTGTGTGTACTCAGGTGATTACTCCTTTGTTTTACTATTCTAAGGGATCTATTAAATGTAATAGAGCATTTTACAGAACTGGCCCAATATAATATGAATGCCATTTGCAACGTTTTAAGGATAAAAACGTAGGGAATTTAGCCCATTTGGGACCATTTAAGACATATGAAGTGACTGTATGAGAAGTAATCACTGCTTAATTCTACTTCTTGTGCTGGACATAGAGGTCCAAACAGAAGGATTCATGCCCACTCGGAATTGGTATTCTAATAGAGTTTCGTTTTATCTTTCTAACATTTTATATTTATTCTATGGAACCATTATTTTTGCTTTGTTTTTAAGTCTTATTTGAGCTTACAGTCTTTCTACTTTCTTGTAGGAAGAAAAGAAAAGTTTCCTCTAGACAGGCAAATTTGAAGACATTCCTTGGGCTCTGGGAATTTTAAGATATTTCTTAAAGCTCTTTGTAGAGGGGAGTCATTAACTACATTAGTCGAACTCTTAGCATCTTGGCCGTATACACTTAAACGTTTAATCTGTCAGGTGGCTGGGGAGAACACTAAATGTGATTTATCTCTTTATATTATTTACTATGAAACTTTTCAGTCGCTGGATGGATTCAGTCTCCCGGACACTGTTCTCTCAGAGGTATCTCTGGAGAGCCACCCCCTGTTGCTCAGAGGTGGTTAGATGGGCACACGGGGCTGTACCATTTCAGCCAAGGAGTGTCCGTTACCGCCTTTTGACTCTAGTAAGTTCAGGCTTCTGTCTGGTCTGTTTAATTTTAAATAACGGTCATTGTATTATGAGCAGATAGTCTTGTGCCTCCTGAACAGAAATCCTATAAGCTTTGTGTGACGTTGTCCTTTACTTTTTTCCTTTAGGGTCTGTGACTGACACAACTATTCCCTATTTTAACCCTCTCGTGTTCTGTCACTATTTTTTTCCCCTGACCTTGCTTCTCACTTCTTTTTGATATTTATAATAGCTGTTGAAATTCAATAGTTTCACTGTTATTGCCTCATCAAGGTGTTTTAAGTCTCAAATCCCTAGTATATTTGGACAAGGAATTCGTAGCTTAAATGCCCTTTGTCTCCAGCCTTCAGTTAAATGGCTCTTCTCCTCCCTTTTGCTAGAACACACGGGAGTCAGCTCAAGGCAAGAACTTGCTGACTCTAGCCTTTTTGTTCTTTTTAAAGTCTTCAACCCCCCACATTCGCAACAAGGGAACCCAGAGTCCCGAACAGGGTTCACCTGGCATGGGATGGACCTGTGGCTCTGCGTGGCTTCTGTCTCTGGCTACGCCCATGTTCCCCAACACCGACCCTGCTAATTTAGTGTGCGTCAGGAGTCCTTCTACTTGGCTGTTTCTCAAGAAAGTCAATTTAGTACAAATTGGGACCTATTTACTTTCACTCCATCTAACACATACTGTTAGTCGGCAGGGCTTCTGAGGACAGCGGTTGCTATTTGAAGAAAACAAACCCTCTTTAGACCTTTCTGAATGTTTTAAACATGACCCCACATTTTCCATATTGAACAAAAATTAATGGTAGGAATGCTTTGTAATTTGTTGCTTCTGTACCCTGTTACCTTTTTAAAATTTGGTTTCTGTTAAGAAGTTATATGTACTTGATTACTGGACCATTGTCATTGAATTAAAGCTTTCTTTCCATTGGGCATCTAAATTGTTAATTTTTCTTCTTTGAGGAATGACTCTTGATTGCTCACAAAAGCAAGCGGGGCTCTTCTCTCTCCCTGCTATCAGTTTGAAGGAACATATTGCTTCCTCGGCACTGTCATACCAATAAATCATCCCAGATTACTCACAGTCATACAGTACTAAAGTATACCATGCATTTTAAAGGGAATCTGTTATTTTCTTTTCAATCAGATGAGCAATGTGAAGAGACTACGGCCACGGCTCAGTGCTATTCTCTTTAAGCTGCAGTTTGAAGAGCAGGTGAACAACATCAAACCTGACATCATGGCTGTCAGTACTGCCTGCGAGGAGATAAAGCAGAGCAAAAGCTTCCGCAAGTTGCTGGAACTTGTGTTGCTAATGGGAAACTACATGAACGCGGGCTCCCGGAATGCTCAAACCTTCGGATTTAACCTTAGCTCTCTCTGTAAAGTGAGTTCGTTTTTTAAAAACACATATTTGCCTGAGCACTTACTTGGAAATGTCAGCCCTGATTACATTATTTAAATATTTTTATTTTGATGTGCTCGTTATCAAGAATTTAAAGGAAACCATGAACCCAAACCCAGAGTGAACTGAGCTAATTTACTCAACCTCAGAGCTAAATCCAAATATTAATTTTCTCTGATCTGCAAATCCAAAGGAAGGATTTTGTTTAATAATAGAATTATGTTGTAAACCTATGCTTTCCCAAACTAATGAAATGGAACATCAAAATATTATTTAAATCTAATATTCAATTCAGGTAGCTGCAAATGATGGTATAGATATATTGAGAATTGCTTAGGCTTGCCACTACATTTTTTACCTTTACTATTTAAATATTTCTTTGCTTTTTTTTTTTTTTTTTTGCAAGCTGACTAAAAGGAGAAAAGAATGAGACTGCTTTATGTAAAGGGAAAATCATTTTATTAGGAATAAACATGACTCGGATGTCATTGATGATTTTGAAATGTTTCTATCTAAATATAATTTTAAAGGATGTGAGAATTAAGTAAGTTTAGAGATTTGGTTTTTTTCTCCTGGGTTCTTCCACAGGTTAAATGTCCTTACCGCAAATATATTCACTGTTTTATGTAACAGAGCTTTTTCCTCAGAAGCGGGCCGCAGTAATAGTGCTTTATTGATCTGCTTACAACAAATTCTTCTCTGTTACACATCCTACGAAAAGCTTTCTTTTGTTCTTGACCTGCTCTAACATCTATGCTACCTGATTAAGGAATTTGATGACTGGTTTTCCCCGCTGTCCAGAAGTTCACTTCACGCAGCTTCACTTGTATAAAAGACCTACATTAGCATACACCTGTTTCCAAAATGAAATCCGAAGAGGATTTGCGCTTTTACAAAATGGTGATTGCTCCTCTGCTTTACGCCATTTGGATTATGAAAGGTTTCATGGGAACGCTCTACTTTTGGGTAGCTGGGGAGACCTGTGTTGCAATTGCCACTTAGGGAAGGTGAGAAACAAGTCCAGTTTTAGCCTTGGGTTTGCTTGAATAGTTGATCTCTCAGTGCTTTCATGACTTTCCTTACGCAGTTTTCCCTACCTAAAGCCTCCTGCTGGTATCAACAGCTTGTGAGCTTGCTTAACTCCATCTCCATCTTTTTTTTTCCTCTCATTTTCTGAGCCTGATCTATTCAGTTAAGATCCCTAGCATGGGGGCTGTAATTCATAATACATGTATTGAAAACTTTGCACATTTATGGGGTGCTCACCTATCCCTGTGCTCAGTGCTTGACCTGATCATCTCATTGAATGGATGTAATTATTTATGTGGCATACACAGAACCCTTGTTTTTCACATGTAAACCATTATTAAAATTTTTAATAGAGTTCTATCCAAAAAGTTATGGCAACAGAGGTGAGAGAGAGTCTAGCTCGGTTAAGGGAGGACAGCTAAGCATTCAGAGAGGAGTAGGAATTTGAGCTGGATCTGGAAGTATGAGTGGATATTCCTGAAAAGGAAAGGCATTCTAGACAATAGCCATCAATTGGCATGAAGGGTCATATCGTGGCATATGTGAGTCCACCAAATGATCGGAAGCTTAGACGGGAGAGGCATGGAGAAAATGGAAATGAAATAGTAAATTGGTCTAGACTGAAAAGCACCTCCAGCGGCACACCTGATGGTGAAGATTAACAGAGACATGTTAGTTCTTTAATTCAAGTCATAGTCTCAGAGATGTCCCATAGCAATGTAATTCTAATAGCAGTATGGAAGAAAGGTGAGCTGCACTGTCCAGTCCTGGTACCATGAGCCACGTAGGGCTGTTCACATGTAAATTAATTAAAATTTCAATAAAATTAGGAAAGACCTCAGTCACCCTTGCCACGTTTCAGCTGAGTAAGTGTCCATATGTGTTGGCAGCATAAATATAGCACATTTCCATCACTGTAGAGTATTCTCCTGGACAGCAGTGGCCTAGAGGGTTATAGTTGGGAGAGACTTGGTGACTGGCGGACGTGTAGCAAGTGACTGAGGAACTCAAGCTGAAAAGATAGATGGCGAGGATGATGGAAGCTGCCTTCATTATTTAGCAAATATTCTGAAACAGTGTGTGTCTATTATGAAACTGTGACTATATGTTGAGACAGTGGAAGTACAAGCTTCGGTAGTGGCAGAAGGGTTTGGGGTAGATAAGTGACACATTTAAGAAGCATCTAGGGAACTGTGAGAATGTGGTGATAATGAACTTGGAAGGGAAAGGGCAAGGAGGCAAGCACACCTGCCAGATTCAGGCTTTCCCTGAGCAGGGAAGCAAAGGAAGACAGACAAGCTGAAGAGCAAGGTCAGGGAGAAATTTACACCTGTAAATCAACTGGAGTTTGTTTCTTAGTGTTAAGTGTCTGTTCCTCTGGAGAGCTTGCATCTCAGATCTCCAGTCGACTCACAAAGAGTTGACCATATGCCTTTCCTCATGCTTTCCTTGCAGAGGAGCTGTTGACAAGACATTAGGTCTGATCGATGAGGTCGAGTATCCTGATACAGTGCCTGGTGCATAGTAAATAATAAATAGCTGTTGAGTGAATGACAATGCAATAGACAAAATGGACACAAAGTTGTGCCTCTTAGTTATGCAGTTGAAAGTAGACATCCTCTTATACTGATACATAGTGGCTGATGCATAGTAATTTACAAGGACAATGCATGTTGCTATTATTTTACTATAGTTTATCTGTAAACCAGTTAATCTGTATCCAGATAAGAGTCGACTGTATTTTCAGGCAATGATACTAGATATTTTGATCATCCCTCTTAGAAGCCTTCTGTTGTGCAAGAAACAAAATAAATACTACAACTTTGTATTTTTTATTAGCCTACATGTCAAGTTGAAAGCATATATTGAACAAGATATCTCATCATGTTTGTTATCAGAAGTAGCAGCTTGATCTTTGACAATTGTGATTGAATTTTCACACTGAGTATAAAGCATTTGGTTTGATGATAAACCCCCGTAAAAGGAATTCCATATTTATTTGACAGTAGAAAGACAGGATAATATTTTAATCTGTTAAAACATGCTGGGTAATTATATGACATCTAATATTCTATATTCAAAATCTTTACTTTTAAATACCCTTTATAAATTTAGCTCTAGTATGAGAAGTGTATGAAAATTCATATTAAATTGTTAACTTTGCATTGTTTAGAAATAATTGCATGAATCGTGAAATCTGTATATATTATAGTTTAATTTGGGGGGCTATATTACATCTTTGTATACATTTATAATTGAGATAGCTAAATACAATATCCCTGAGTTCAGAGGGAAAGCTTTGTGAGCTCTTTTTTATCCTAAAGATTTGATGTGGCCTATGATAAATAAGTATAAAAGTAAAATATGAGAAAGAAGATAAACATAAGTGAGAATCTATTAAGATATAGGTGTTTAGGTTTGAGACTCAGTGAAATGCAAACATGGTAATGAAACTTTACATGAGCTAAAGATGAGGTTTCTCTCATTAGCCAAAGCTGAACTTCCCAAGAAAAATTGCATGTGCATTGTTATAAAAGAAAAATATGATGTTGAGCCATAGTCTTTAAAACAGTAAATGAAAGAGTCAGTTATATTAGGATCTTTCTTTTAGAACTAGCTCTCCCTCCCCTCGCCCTTTCCTTTCCCTACAAGTGTGGACCAGAGCCTCTTAGGGTCTGACACTCCAAGAGAACCCTCATGGTTAGATACAAATGTACTTTGCAATTACATAATGCTATTCCTAGTTTAAGTAAAATGGTGTAAGTACCTTGCTTTCTGATGGCTTGACTATCTAGAAGGATAAACCTTAGAATATATAAAAGAGTGGATGGACTTCTTGTCATTCATAAAGTCCTCCAAAGATATTGCTAGACTTTATATAAGAATTGGATAATATGGAATTGGAGGTTATATTCTCTTTTTCAGGACCTGCTATTGATTAAATGCAAATTCATACCCTTAGAAATTCAGTTAGTAAATGGTAGGGCCTGACCAAAATGCACACCTAGAAAAAATGCGTATGTGCTTAGTGTTGAAGTTAATTTTCTTAGACCTGTTGGTAGGGCAAAGACTTTTTTTTTTTTTTTCCTTCAAGTAGATCAGTATTCTAGCAAAAGAGTGAATTGACCCAATCATCAAAGTTTAACACCATACTAAAGTATATGAGAGGGTTTTAACTTGTAAATTTAAAAAGCAAATGTTACCAATCCATACATCATGGCTATAACATGTGTTTAATATTTCCTAATGTCTAATGATAGGTAATTTTCGAGTAACAAATTATCCTGATCAACACAGGTGGATGATTAGCTGTAAAATGTAGCTCTTTGTTCTGAGTAATTAAGTAAGCTGTATCGGGATAGTAGATATAAATTTTAGAAGAGTTTACAAATTGTAATAATTTACTTTTGCCAGTATTGATGCTATTTTGGGGGAAAATTGCAGAAACCAAGTAATTATTGATTCCATTATAAATGTATCAGTATTAATCACTTTGTAGGAAACTTTTCTATTCTCTGTGGCAGTAGACCACGCAGTGAGTTCATCTCAAAGATGAATTCATCAAAGGATATGTAGTAATGGGGATGTGAAGGAGTTAGAAGTTAGGTATTAAAAAGGTAGGCAGTGGGAGGCAAGATTTGTTTTTGTGTCCTCTCTTGATTTTGATTTTTTGTCCATTTAAAAGATTTTGTTGTTGTTGTTCATTGAAGTGCATGAAATTTTTATCTGATTGCCTATATATTCTTTTTACAAGTGCAGGCTAACCAAAAGTAGAATAAAGCTGCCCAAAGCTGTGATGGAGAAGATTTTTATATTTATTCTTTCTTTCTTTCTTTTTTAAAGATTTATTTATTTTAGAGAGAGAGAGAGGGGGGACTTGAGCGAGTTGGGGGGAGAAGCAGAGGGGGAGAGAGAATCCTGAAGCAGGCTCCCCGCTGAACAGAGAGCCCAAC